ACCTCACTGATGCTGGAGTTTGTGCTAAAGGAGCCCCAATCCAATTACTGAGTTCAGAAATCAACATACTTTAAAGAACGTGAACTTTTCTGTTATGCAAATCCTTTTTTTGATTGATCTTAGTAAATATTCTAATATTTTGAGATACTGGATTTTTGACTTTCATGAGCTGTAAGCGCTAATCATCAAAATGAAAAAAAAAATAAAAAAAACATTTGAAATGTTTTACTTTACATGTAATGAATCTAGAATATATGAAAGTTTCACTTTTTGAAATAAGTTCCAAAAAAAGAAAACTTTTTCACGATATTAAAATTTTTTTTTAGATACACCTGTATATTTTGGCCAGAAAAAAATATTTGTTGCTATATACATTACAGTTGGTCTGTTCCTGTCTAAGCGGATGGTTCTTGGTCAGAATGAGCTGCAGTGCTTATAGTCTAAAGTCTGACTACGGGCATTGAACAACTGTTATACTGACGACCATGTGTTTCTCTCTGGAGTGAATTAATGTGTTTAACATGACAGTTTGTGTGATTCTTCCAGAGAGGTTCATGCTCTGATTTCCACTCTCTGTTTCTCTGTGTCACTGCAGTTTCGGGACGCAGCGTGGAGGAAGACGAGGCTGTGAATGCATCACTTTAGAGCCGTCTGAGATGATTGTGGTGAGTGGCACGTTAAACGCATCTCCTCTTGCACCAGCCGTCTGCTCCGGCCTCAGACTGACTAAAACAGACGTCCAGTCACAACATGCTTTCCTAATACACATGCCTGATCTGGTGCTTCATCAGTACATGTGGCAGCTTCCTCTAAAGTTTTTGTTTAATTGTAAATAACATGCCGTTAAGTGTCTGAAACAGTACATTCAGTATGAGTATATTCTTATAAAATATCATTTCTGTAACAAGTGCTTTTAAGAGGTATGCTGAAGTTAGGGCTGGGCGGTATGGCAAAAAAAATTAAATCTCGATTTTTTTCAGAACGTTTGACCGATTCACGATTTTTAAGATTTTTAACTAGTCAACTCGAAAATGTAATTACAACATGATTCAAGTAACTTTTTCTTTATTAAGCCTCTATAGTTGAAGAAAATTCTATTCCAAGTGCAGCACACATGAAGTTGTCAACATGTTGTAAATGTTAAACAAATCACTTGTTAAATATCTTTGCAGAAAAGATGCATGAACGACAAATGCATCTTGTACAAACTTGTCTTATACATATTATATGTTTAAAAATAATACAATGAAAATGCTTAAAAGAAATGTTCAAAAGTCAAGGTAATTCAAATTCAAAATGACTGAAGGTACAACACCAGTAGACTATTATTAACTATAAATGTTCTGTAAAAATAACAGCAGCTTTCAGCCGGTCACCATGATGCAAACATGAAATAACGGACATACAATAGTAGCTCTTTACAGGTTTTCATTCGATTGCGCTGCTTTCCATTGTATTTCTATGTAAACATAGACGCGTTTGACTGTTGTGCTCACGTCTCTTGCAGTGTCTCATGCATGAAACAGCATTCTAAAAGTTAACAGAAGTTCACTCCCATCTTCTTTTGTTTGGAATGTTTTTCCTATTCCACTGCCCACGTCGCGTCTTTGTCAACACAAAAGCATTCTGTGTGAATGGCAGCTAGCGATATGAGTGTTTAATCACGTGTGCTGACATGTGGTTGGATCATTATTTTCTCTTTACTGTTATCACTGCCATATTGTTAAAGTGTCCAATTCTGACGTTTGGTAATACTTCTATTTCTAAAATTGTGACCCTGAACCACAAAACCAGTCATAATGGTCAATTTTTCGAAATTGAGATTTATACATCATCTGAAAGCTGAATAAATAAGATAGGACAATATTTGGCCGAGATACAACTATTTGAAAATCTGGAATCTGAGGGTGCAAAAAAAATCTAAATATTGAGAAAATCGCCTTTAAAGTTGTCCAAATGAAGTTCTTAGCAATGCATATTACTAATCAAAAATTAAGTTTTGATATATTTACAGTAGGAAATGTATAAAATATCTTCATGGAACATGATCTTTACTTAATATCCTAATGATTTTTGGCATAAAAGAAAAATCAATAATTTTGACCCATACAATGTATTTTTGGCTATTGCTACAAATATACCCCAGCGACTTAAGACTGGTTTTGTGCTCCAGGGTCACAATTGTGATTCCTCGATTTCTAAAAAATAAAATTGTGGCAAAACATTAAACTCGAATTAATCGATAAAATCGAAAAAATCGCCCAGCCCTAGCTGAAGTGTACAGCTTTTTCACAAGGGCCTGCAGGAGCAGTTTGACAAAATCAGTATAAGTTATATGGTATAAGGTGACAAAATCAGTCACAGGGAAGAGAGTTTGTGTGGGTAATAATATCTTCTCTTATCTGTCGTTCTCCAGCGTGCAGGAAATGAGCCATTATATGAGCTTTATCTTACATGAGCTGATGGTCATGAACTCTGAAAATGAAAGCTCAGGGTTCATCGTCTCTCTCATTGACTGTCCTGAAGTGAAGCATCTGTTGACTCTGCTCAGAATGTAGATGAAGGTACATGTTTATCCGAGATCAGTGTATATCCCATAAGACCTGATGAGAAACATGTGGTCCTTTTGAATTTGTACACCGCACATGCAGTGCTTAAAAAACCCTGCATTCGTTCAGTACACATACGCGCTGAACTGAATGACCTATACCAAAAATTTCTGTTAGAATATGTCTAACATTACACCCCTATTTGTTTTAGGCGACTCATTTGATTGGACGATGTGTTTTATGTAACAGCACTGTAGCGTTTCAATGTCTGTCTGCGTCCGCTGCTGCTTTTTCATCATGAGAATATTGTCATATATATTTTTTTACAGCCCGTTAACCCATCTTTCTCTCACACACACTCATCCAGAGCCAAACACTGAGATGCGTCTTTTCTGTCATCTGTCCCCTGGATGCTTAAAGCTGTGTGTCACATTAATGGCGTGATGGATGACCGTTCTGCTCCGACATGACAACCCGTCTCTGTCTTTTCACTCCATGCACCTCCATGTTTGCCTCCTTCATAGGTAGCATCTGTTTAAGGGAACATTCACACTCATAAGTGACTGATCTGACAGATTACACTCCTCACATGAAGCGCACAAGACTAATGGCACAATAATTTAACATGTATTAACGCCCTCAGCGCTAGGGCTGGGTATCGAGTTCGATACTTTTTAGGCACCGACCGAATTGCCTCGATACCATCGAGTATTGAAAAACGTCTTGTCGTTCGGTACAAATTTCGATACCTAAGGGGTTAATCTCATCAGCGTCAGTGAGCCAATAAGCCTGCAGCACTAGCCGGTGTGTTCGACTAGAGGCGCGGCGCAGATCGATCATCCGCGAGAGCGATTCGAAAGCACACGGAGCAGTCTGCTCTCTTTAGCTCTCGTGGTACTGTAATACCACCAGTATAGAGTAGCGCGGGAGCTGCGTGGAGTTCCGATCATATGCAGATGTCCGTTCATACTAACCAGAGCCTACAGCTCTGATACTAACGTTACACGACCGAAAGCGCGTGTTATGTGACCATTCATGCAAACTGTAGCATCATGCTACATAAGACAATAAATAAGATTTATATTCCGCTTTTACTCAAAACTCACTTTAAACCACCATCAAGTTTTTGTAATAACTTCCGATTGCCGTGTGTGTTTTGGCCATGTAATGTTGCTGAAATTAAATATGTTATTACCTCTGAGTCAGAGCAGCGATCATGGAAGAGAGAGCACAGGCAGACAGCGCTAGAAACTGCTAATGCTTATCAGTAAATCAGTAGAAAATGAATAGAAATGACGATTCTGTCTGAGCTAGGTGATTCTGTCACACGCACTAGTGTAAATGTAGCTAACAGATGTGTAAACTGAAGACTATTTGAGCTTTATTAAAACTATTTTGTTCCTTTGTGCAGTGGCTCAGGAGATGAGTCTTTGAGTTTGTATAAACATCAACAAGCTGAAAAATAAAACCTACGTTTTTTTTTTTAGATAATGTAATCTTGTTAAAATTGATTTCATAAAATTGGTATCGAAAAAAGTATCGTTCAGGAACCGGTATCGAAGTAAAGGTATCGGTATCGATATCGAAAAATTTTGAACGATACTCAGCGCACACGTATTGACTGGATTTGTCCATTTTTATTAATACGTTTCAGTAGAAACATCAGCATTCTTTCGACTCATCCACCATCTAGCATGGATTTTCTTGCGATGCATTCTGGGATTGCATTTTCCATTTATTAATTTAAAAGATGCTTTTATCCCAAGTGACTTACAAATGAGGAACAGCGCGACTGGATTTCTTCACAAAGCATGCATGTGATGGTGTAGAGCAGGGGTGTCAAACTCATTTTCACTGAGGGCCAACATTATGGCTGCCATCAAAGGGCCAGTTGTAACTGTAAGACTGTACAAATGTTACTACTCCTTAACATATTGTTAAATAACTGTCTCTTTATTTTATTATTACTTATTTAAGTTACAAATATTGAATATGCATTTGCATAGATGTAAAAATATATGTTATTGCTCTGTGTTATTTTAACATAAATCCTTTTAATTTATCAGGTTAAGAAATCCAAATTACTCCATAAATCAAAGTAAATAAAGACAAGTATCATCAAACACGGGTCATTACATTAACTTTGATAAAAACTTTTTTGTTACATTTATGGTACAACAAATAATTGTGAGCTGCTAAGAACGTGTGACAGATATGGTATTTAAAAAAACAAATGAGCCCGGTTTCATGAAAGTGTGTATAGCACGATTTTCTGTTTCTATTTGGCATGCGATTTATGTGCAGAAATGGACTTTGGCGTGCATATGATACACAATCAATGCTTGTAGTAGAAAAAAAGAAGTGGTGGTACTCAACCCCACTCCCCCACCCAAAAATAAATAAATACAAACTAAAGTACTAAAAAAAGTACTTTTAATTTTCATAATTTGCAATGAATGTATATAGTGCCAAAATAAATAAATACATTCATTATAATGATACACTGTTGCGAAGCAGCTTCACAGAAAATGAACATTTGTACATTACATTTAGTAGTTTACAGCACTTTTAATAAAAAAACTGAACAAGTCGATCTGCGATACCAAACAGGAACACAGGGGGACGCCAAAAGACCACTAAATGAGCTACCTTGACCTGACTGATCCAGATTTACTAAACCACTGACTACTGCGTAATCTAAAACACCTTCAGCCAGCATCCAGTATAAAACACTCGTGCTTTTAAGCCAAATAGCTTGCTGATTTTTTATTTTTTTACTGACGTCTGTACGTGAGTACTAATACTATTATCTCTGCCATCTCTGATGAAATCGGCCATGTTTTCTCTGCATTAGCGCTGTTCTGAACTTACTGTTTGAATGCATTTGCTTACTGGATCCTTAGACTTTCCAGGAGTTTGCCAGTTGATGTGATCGCAAAAAAAAACTGCTTCTTTTTATTTTCATAATGTATTGTTGACACGTGCGAAACAGATACATTTAGACTACTACTGTTATGATATATGTAAATACTTATTTACATTAGTTGGCATATGCGCCAATGTATGTTTCTGCCAGTGGATGCCCACACTCCAGGTTGCGTTTATTAAACTCAGGA